AATCAGTGAACTACAAGATGAAATGCAGAAAAACCTCCAAAGAACAGCATCAGAAGATGAGGGAAAACTCAAAACAAAACAAAACTCAAATGAACAGTAGGCAAGAGAACTCTAGTAGGAACTCAAAAGGAACAAACAAAAAAATCATGGGGGGGGGGCGCGGAGGTCGACCCTAATGAAGAAGCAACCATCAAAGCAATCATTGCTGAGAAGTTCCCAGAGCTGGAGAGTGTGTGCACCCAGATCCAGGAGTCCTGAAGGGAACCAGATGAAAGAGGGCCACATAAAAATTCTCCAAGACACATCCTGATCAGAATGACAAAAAGCCATAGACAGAGTTAGAATACCGAAGGCAGCAAGTTTAAAGAAAGAAATTACAAAGAAAGACAAATACAAAGGAGTGTCAGTAAAATTCACAGCAGATTTTTCTTTTTTTTATATAATTTTTTATTTTATAAAGTAGTTCACAATATTTCATTACATTTAATATTCAAACACTAATCCCACCATCATTACACCTTCCCACCACCATATATAGGGTGTTTCCATCCCAAACCCCAATCCCTGCCACAAAGCAGAACTGAAATAATAAATCTTGTATCATTTGTTATGAAAAACCACTGAAAATGCTACAAAAAAGTATCCTGGGAGGAAAGAGGGTAAGGATTGTTGTATTCCACCCAGGGATCATTAAGCCCTTCTATAAGAGATCACTAACATGTTGTTAGAAGTTGAGCATTGTGTGCATATATATATATATATATGTAAAAAATTCCCTCTATGATTGGTCACCTCCTACTTTGAACTCCATCAAATGTGGTGTGGTACTCTTGGAGTATGGGTAGGGTGTGTGGTATGAAGTATCGCACAGCGGCATCTGCAGCCACATGGTTCAGTAATAGGTTCACTCGTGGGTGAGACTCAGCCCGAGCATGTGGAGAGAGGCTGTGAGTGTGGCGGTGGTTGAGATCTGGGAGTTTTCGGCTCCTGGGGCTGGGTCCCTTGTGGTGGAGTGAGTTCTGACCCCCCCCCCCCCCCGCTCCTGGACAGCCTCACAGCAGATTTTTCATATGAGACCCTACAGTCCAAAAACTGTTGGCCACATGCAGAAAATGAACTAAGACCCTTTCTAATGCCATGCACAAAGTCAAAAGTCAAATCAAATGGATTAAAGACCTAGATATATAGCAGAGCATACCTCACTGCATCTTACTACACAGACATCATCAGTGACCAAACTGAAGGTCTGTAGGAGCACTTCAGGCACTGAGTGCCCTTTCTGTCCCCGAGTCACATGTGACTAAGAGATGGACCGTAGCCCCATATGCTCTCACTCTGGACACAACATAATTGCACACTGAACAGCTACAGCCCTATCAACAAATCACAGTACACATCCACTTGGCATGCATGGGAAACCAAAAGCCTGTGTGTGACTTGCTTTCTTTGGAGAGTCACTATGTTGTGAGGGGCTAAAATCACACCCGCCTTATCTCTAAGGTGCCTATAGATAGCATACGTCTAAATACTTCTGACATCTTATTTCTGTTTGCTTTGGGGTCACACCTGGCAATGCTCAGGGGTTACTCCTGGCTCTGCATTCAAGAATTACTCCTGGATTAATTAATTTATATATAAATAAATTAATTCGCGGCCACGCGACATTTTATTATGACATCTCTTTCCTACTTTGACAAACTGGCAGGCTCCCGAATGTAACCTGCCCACACGGCAGAGTCTGGCAAACTCCCTGTGTCGTACCCAATATGCCAAATACCAGTAACAATGATGGGTCTCATTCTCCTAAAGAGCCTTGAATATAATCTCAGGGCTAGGATGAAGGAGACGTTACTGGGGCCTGCTCGAGACAATCGACGAATAACAGGATGATCTGTGATCTGTGATCTGTGATAAATTATATATATAAATTAATTAATTTATATATAGCTCAGGGGATTATATGGGATGCTGGGATGGAATCCAGATCAGCCTTATGCAAGGGAGTTGCCCTACCCACTGTACTATTGCTCCGGCCCCACTTCAGACATTTTTGTTTGTTTTGAATCACCCACCCGGCAATGCTCAGACGTTAGCCATAGCTCTGCACTCAGGGACCACTGCTGGTGGTGCTTGAGACTGAACCCGAATCAGTGGTGTGCAAGGCAAGTGCTTTACTCACCGTACTATCACTCTGGCCCCTACTCTAATACTTAAATCTACACATAGACTCATATCAATATTACAGATGTGTAGCCTCGAGCAGGCCCCAGTACAGATGTGTAGCAAGGCATCTTAAATGAAATTTCAAATCACAAACATGGGCCAGAGAGTAAACTCAATGGACTGAGCACGGGACCTGCATGGGGGAAGCCCGGCTCTGATCCCTGGCACTGTCTGGTATTCCGAGCGTCACTGGGAGCAGCCCTTGAGCAGAGACGGAGCCTGGAGCGGGGGATAAGGCTGAGCACTCCTGGGTATGGCGTCCCAATTTTCCTTTTAGATCATAAAAGTGAGGTTGTAATTTTGTAGAAAAGTAGTGTTTTGCAAATATATATGCAAAGCAAAACATGTGAAAGGAGAGCAGCTAAGAGGTTACATCTACATCGTGGAGTAACAGGCGTCTCATTCCTTTCAGTGTCTCCTTCTTTTGACAGGCCTTGGGTGACTGACCTTGGGCTGGTAACTGGGAGGTGGGTGCACGACTGTGAGTCATGGCCCTGGCAATGTTCTTACATTTCTTCTCCCAACTAATGGAGCTGCTCTATAATGAGAAAGCAGTAATGAATTGTCTTCAGTTTAAAAGCTATAAAGACATTTAAAGTCAGCTGCCTTCGGTGTAAATAAAGCTGTGTCATAAATTAAATGGCACTTAGAGTTTTGTTTTTATCAGCAGAAGCAGTCATGAACAATGAAAACAGTGGACATAGTCATCAGGGAAGCGGATATTTGAACTCATTCTGGAAATCAAGGCATCTCTCCAGTCCTAATCTGAGAGTAAAGTGGGCATTGGGCACAGGTGACCCTTCTCTCTTGGGCATGGGACTGCCTGGCTTCCTGAGTGCCACTGACTCCAGATAGGGGTCCTGTGTCTGGTGCCCCACCCTGATCCCCAAACAGTAGGTGCTACAAAATAGCAGGTGAATGAACAGGCACTTGATGAACAGCACAGTGGTAGAGCGTTTGCCTTACAAGCAGCCAACATGGCCGACCTGAGTTCGATTCCTCCACCACTCTCGGAGAGCCTGGCAAGCTACCGAGAGTATCTCGCCCGCATGGCAGAGCCTGGCAAGCTACCTGTGACATATTCGATATGCCAAACACAGTAACAACAAGTCTCATGATGGAGACATTACTGGGCCCGCTCGAGCAAATCGATGAACAATGGGAGGACCGTGTGAACAGGCACTGTAAACACGGTTATTGCGGTGAGGCATGCAGGCACACACACGGGTACGGAAATGAACTCACAGAGTGCTGGCAGAGAGCCTCCCAGTCACAGTGCCTGTCTGATTCCATGTCGAGGAAACAACGGAGCCCTTAATGGTCAAAAGAGAATCAGTGTCAGGCGAAAGTGTGCCACACCTAGTGCCCAAAAGCCCACGCACACGTGATGGGCGCAGAAGGCAGCCAAAGCTCATGCGGGAACTGCACTAGTAGGAGATGGGGGTCTTCATGTCACTTCAAACCCTGTGAAGAGGGCTGTGCTATTTGCAACAAGGCAGGGCTGAGCATCCAGAGAGCCATAGTCTCACTCTGCTGCCTTGGAGTCACAGACCACCGTGCGCACCCTTTGAGGACGGACCACGTCATGCATGCTGAGTGACCTTGCGGAGGATGCACAGGTGCCAAGGCCCCTGGTCTGCACAGACCTTCCGGAGAAACGAAAGGTTTGCAGTGTGATGCCAGCAGACACCACAGGGACCGGAATGACGAGAGCATGGCTTACGGTTTGACTTGGAACCCTAGCTGTATCTGAACTCAGGTGTGAAACTAGGCCCAACACAGACTTTTGATTTAGATTCTTACCTCTTTCGTGCATGATAGAAATCCATCTACAAAGGTTGACTTGATCTTGTGAACCTGGATTGCAAAGACAAAACTCACTTTCTTTAAGCACTTCAATAAGCCAGGGCTCGGGCAGACAGTGCAGGATGAAAGCACAGACCTTGAACTTGACCTCCAGCACAGCGGAGTGTGATCCTAGAGGCGCCTGCCCATGGGCCTGAGCATTCAACTGAATGGCAGGATTGGATGAGAATCTGGGGCTCTCTGGGCCTGGTTCCCACCCCTTGACTTTCATTCCTTCCACCCAAGTCTAATCAACAAAGAGAAGCAGCGGCCAACAGGGAGTCAACTGGGCCTGTCTTACAGATCTCACTTCACATGGCTCTGGGCCCAGAAGAGGTACCCAGAGCTAAATAACAATGGCCCTCCAAGCAAGGTGCCACACTACTCTTTATAACAGTGTTCCATTTCTTTGGAAAAAAGAGAAAAAGACCCCTGCAGTGCCCTCTGGCATGCCTTCTGGTTCCCTTTTGACCCTTCACTCCTTCCAGGAGAAAGGTCAGGTTGCCTCCACCTTCCCTAAGAGCTGCCATGACTCAGGACAGATCAGAGGCTCAGTGAGCGACTGTCCAACGGGCCAAGGTGTGTCAACAGTGATACACATGGAACTGCGGTGGGCCAGTGCCCCGTGTGGGAAGTTCTGACTGCAGGGAGGGACCTGGTCTGGCCAAAAATGGAGGAATGAGGTGACTGGGAGTGAGGGATGCCAATCTACTCCCAAGTAACATGAGAATGACACCCCGTGTTCCCATCCTCTGCTGCCACCTATGACCCCCACTCAGCACCAAGCACGACTGGAGACTCGGTCTCAGTACAGAACCAAGCAGGGAAAGTCCAGGCTGTCCCCACAAAACCCTGTCAGGCAGGCTTCCATTAACAAGATGGGTCTCAGTCTCCCCTGCCTCACCAGCTCCCTTTGGACAAAAAGAATTGATCTGCCTATGCTCCAAAATTATCTTTGGCAATGGATGAAGGTCTTGTAGGATATGTAACTGAAAAAAAAAAAAAAAGCAGGTCATCAATGAATTCCTTCGCTTGTTTGGAGGGGTCCCAAGTGGGCCCAGAGAGTCTCGACCAACCAGGAGGCTCATGCTGAACCCAAAGGTGCACTGCTGAGAACAGTGGGTGCTGGACCCCCACACATTCTCCAAGCCCACCAGGAGTGATCCCTACAGACCCCCGGCCCCCACATGGTCCCTGACCCGCCAGGAGTAATCCCTACAGATTCCTAGCCCCCCGCGTGGTCCCCACCCCACCAGGAGTGATCCCCTAAAGACTCCCAGCCCCCCACATGGTCTCTGCCTCACTAGGAGTGATCCCTACAGACCCCCAGCACCCCGCACAGTCATGGAGCCCATCAGGAGTGATCCCTGAGTGCAGAGCCAGGAGCGAGCCCAGAGCACTGCTTGGTGTCCCCCCACTCCCACCCCCGCCAAAAAAAATCTATAAATGTGCAGCCTAGGAGTTTCAGAACACCCAACACCTGAAGGTAACATTTATAGACCATCTGCAGCAGAGGAAATAAATGCCAGACAGTTCTCCAAAGTAATGCACCAATATAGACCCCATCAGCAACACACAAATGCTCCACAAATTTGCCATTCTGGTAAACTGAAGGAATATCTCACCATAGTTTGGTTTTGGTTTGGAGGCCACACAACCTGCCTGCATTCAGAGATCACTTCTGGTGGGGCATAGGGGACCACATGAGGTGCCGGGATGGAACCAGGGTCAGTTGCATGCAAAGCAATACCTTGCCTGCTCTGCACTCTCTGGCCCCTCTCACCCGGGCTTTAATAACAGTTCCCCTCTGATACAGTCAGACTGCACAACTTTACATCAGCAAATAATCTCCGGGTTAATGATGATCCATATACATTGTGGTGGTCCCGAGACCCTAGGCGTGCAGAAGGCTGTGTGATCACATAGATGACACCACAGAATAATGCACCCTTTGAGTAGAGATAGCACCCTTTGGTTAAGCCATGTAGAGCTGGGTACATATGTTTAGTGTTACATCTTTCATCAAACCCCTGTCCACTTCTTTTGGTCACCCAAACAACTGGTTTGTGTCTTTTTCTTCTGCATTTTGTTTTTGAACCACACCTGGTGACACTCAGGAGTTACTCCTGCCTCTGCATTCAGGAATCACTCCTCATGGGCTCAGGGGATCAAATAGGATGCCGGGGATTGAAGTCAGGTCTGTTAGCAAGCGCCCTACCCTCCACACATACACACACACTCTCTCTGTCCCCATGTTGTTTTTTTCTTAATTTATTATATTTAGACAAGGGTTTCCTTGTGCAGTTACATTTATTGAAAACAACTTTCAACCTGCGGTGGCTTAGGGTTTTCAGCTCAGTAACGCTGTTACATAAAAAGACGATTCTAAATCTCTATTGTTCAGTTTTTAAAAAATATTTTTCATTTTAAATAATGCAATTTGCTGCTAGTTGGATGAATCTGGAGAGTATCATCACACTGAGTGAAACTAGTCATAAAAAAGAGGGACAGACTAAGAATGTTCTCTCTCATATGTAGGATATAAAGAAACATAGTCAGAGTTATTAAATACCCAAAGGCAACCGAAACTGAAAACTGGTGTTTTTTTTTTTCTTTTTGGGTCACACCCGGTGATGAACAGGGGTTATTCCTGGCTCATTCCTGGCTCATGCACTCAGGAATTACTCCTGGTGGTGCTCAGGGGACCATATGGGATGCTGGGAATCGAACCAGGGTTGGAGGCGTGCAAGGCAAACACCCTACCCGCTGTGCTATCACTCCAGTCCCTGAAAACTGGTCTTTAGTTGGGAGATACCATAGGAGAGGGGTGGGGGGAGAGGGGTTAGGATAAGGGGCTATACTGGGACAATGGTGGGAAGAAGTGGACATTCTGCAACCAGTACCCGCGGGGCAAGTGCATCAGCAGCCTGATACCTTCAGGCTTCCTGACACCCCAAAATTGCTGCTGTGCCTTTGGCCAGACCCCAACAACTTGGGAACAAGTTTACCAAGAAATTACGGCCAAAAGTTAGGTACATGGGAGTCACACCCACAAACCACCTCCGGCTCAGCTATGCAAGTTCACTCAGAGTTGGGATGGTTACCTCCCCCACTTCCCAATACACATAGAAGAACTGGCAGTCACCCCCATGAACCAACTCCAGTGCCACCCTGTAAGCTCTACTATTGGCCTTGCCTCAGAGACCCCTAAATAAATCTCGAAAGAGATCAAAAGCCGCAGTTAAGCTCAGACCCATACATGGCTGGACAGTCTGGAGTAAACTGGAGAAAAATTCATTTTCATGGAGGATAAATAATGTAAAAAATAATGGACCCTTTGGGGCTAGAGCAATAGTACAATAGGGAGGGTGTTTGCCTTCCACGTGGCTGACCTGGGTTTGATTCTTGGCAATCTATAGGGTATAGAGCCCTGAGCCCTGCCATGAGTGATCCCTGGGTATAGAGCCAGGAGTAAACCCTGAGCAACAAAAAAGCAAAACAGAACCGAATAAATAGTGAATAGCCTCTCAATTATGGGCTGGAGAGATAGCACAGGAGGTAGGGCATTTGCCTTGCACGTGGCTGACCCGGGTTCGATTCCTCCGCCCCTCTTGGAGAGTGCGGTAAGATGCCAAGCGTATCTCACCCACACGGCAAAACCTGGCAAGCTACCTGTGATGTATTCGATATGCCAAAAACAGTAACAACAAGTCTCACAATTTGTTGTGAGACGTTACTGGTGCTTCTCGAGCAAATCTATGAACAATGGGAGGACAGTACTACAGTGCTATTGTTCAGTTGATGATTTAGGATCAATCTTTTCCTTTGTAGTTAATGGATTTGTGTTCTGTTTAAAAATATTTGCCTATGTAAAGATCTTGAGAAATATATATATATACTGTAAATATATAAATATATATACACACTTTTTTTACACTTTTTTTTCATTTTTTATGATTTTATTTATTGAATCACCGTGAGAGCAGTTACAAAGCTTTCGGGTTTAAGTCTCGGTCATACAATGAAACACCCATCCCTTCACCAGTGCCCATTCTCCACACCCAAAACCCCCAGTATACTCCCATCCCACATCCTCCCCCTATATGTGGGGCAGATGATTTCCACATTACTCTCTCTCTACTTTGATTACATTCAATATTTTGACACCAGACCCACCATTATTATTTGGGATTTTACCCCAACACTGGAGCGATAGCACAGCGGGTAGGGCGTCTGCCTTGCACGCAGCCAACATGGCCGACCCGAGTTCGATTCCTCCGCCCCTCTCGGAGAGCCCGGCAAGCTACCGAGAGTATCTCACCCGCACGGCAGAGCCTGGCAAGCTCCCCGTGATGAATTCGATATGCCAGACACAGTAACAACAAAGTCTCCAATGGAGACGTTAATGGGCCCGCTCGAGCAAATCGATGATCAACGGGAGGGCCTTTACTTTACTTTACCCCAACACTCAGAACGGCCGAAAAGGGAACAGTAGACAATTTGTTTTCTATTGCTGGTTATGAATAACATATGATGTCGCGTGTCTATAGTAGTGACCACGTGATTTTAAAATTCCAAAATTTTTTATTTCTTAAAATATTATTTATTTAAAAATGGTCTGAAACACTTATAAATAAGATTGAAGTGTTAAGTCATTTTTATTGAGGTACTGGGATTTACAATTATATATTTCATGAGCACATAAATATAGTACAACGGAATTTTTATATAATTTATTTACTTATATTTTTGAATTCTTTTTTAAAAATTGAATCATAGTGACATACACAGTTACAAAGTTCTTCACTATTGGATTTCAGCCATATAATGTTCCAACACCCATCCTTTCACCTTTCAACATTTCCCACCATCAATGTCACCAGTTTTCCTACATCTGCCCCCGGCCTGTCTCTATGTCAGGCACTTTTCTTGTCTCCTCTCTCTCTTTCTCTCTTTCTTTCTCTCTATCTCTCTTTCTGTCCTTTTGGGCATAGTTATTTGCAATATAGATACTGAAAGGTTATTGTGTATGTTCCTTTACCTACTTTCAACTGATAAAATTCCGAAATTTTAACAATTAAATCTGGAGGGATTTCTGCCAAAACCTGCTGGGTTCCGAGATTTGTTCCTGAGTCTCTTGGATTATGGACATTAAGCAGCTTGATCAGGAGCCAGAAAGGCCGTTAGTGGGCGGCAAATCGAGGTCTCATTGGGATGGGGAAGAAAGAGCCGGCTCCACTCACATCCCCCGTGAGGCCACGCGTGTCTCATCACTGAGGGCCCAAACCTGACTGTCCAATGGCCTCTGGAGGATGGCGGCCACCAAGCCGCCCATAGGGAGCAGGCGGAACAACAGCACCCTTTCCCCCCTGGGTCGGGCCGTTGACAGTAACCTATTGCATGGCCCAGACGCCATGCACGCCATGCACGTTTCTGCCTAAAACCGCTGGGTTTCAAGATTTGTTTGAGTCTCTGGGATCATGGCCATTAAGCAGCTTGATCAGGAGCCAGAGAGGCCATTCGTGGACGGCAACTCGGGGTCTCGTTGGGATGGGGAGGAAAGGGCTGGCTCCACTCCTATCCCGTAAGGCCACGTGTGTCTCATCACTGCAGGCCCAAACCTGACTGTCCAGTGACCTCTGGCGGCCACCGAGCCACCAAGGGGGAGCAGGGGGATGGACAACATCCTTTCCCCCCTGGGGTGGCCCGGCGACAGTAACCTACTCGCGGTCCAGATGCCAAAAGCCACTGGGTTTCGAGATTTGTTTCTGAGTCTCTGGGAACATGGCCGTTAAGCAGTTCAAGCAGGAACAAGAGAGGCCATGCCTCCAATTATATAGCTGAGCCGGAGGTGGTTTGTGGGTGTGTCTCCCACATACCTAACTTTTGGCCTTTTACCTTCTTGGTAAACTTTGCCCCAAGTTTTTAGGGTCTGGCCAAAGGCACAGCAGCAATTTTGGGGTATCTGGAAGTCTGAAGGCGCCATCAG